TTCTGCTTATCTTGTTGTCAAGTAGGTTACGTAACGGTGAGATAATTACGATCGCGGCGAGGAGGTCTGTACCTTTGATCTTCGCTCGATGTTACTCCTTCTGTTCTATTTTCTCTATGGTAAAATAGACTTCGCTGACAACGAAAATTAACGTAACCAGAATGCGTTAATTAGCGTTAAGTTATGCACGTGACCAAAAAAAGTATGGCCAATTGGTCAGTTTAGCAACAGCATTTGCGTTAATATAATTTTGATTAAATTTCAGAAAATACAAATTACAATATTACACACATAGTTTAAGACAAACATTAACATGTAGTATATCTGTTACCTCTTAGGCCTACACATTGTTATTGCTCCTTTTTGGATTTAAATCATTTTAATTATTATTATTATTATTATAAATATTCTGCTATTGATAAAGTTTCTGATTTTATTCTGTATATAGGCCTACTAATCATACTCTGTTTTGGTTGGGATGGGTTGTACTTGGGGGAAAATAATAATTAGTGAAGGGTAGCTGCGCTTTGTAACCGCACGGAAAGGCCCTATAGAAGAGCTAAGTAACAAGTAACCTTTTTTAAATAATTAACATTTCTGCTATATTGAAGGTTCATGGAATAAATAAATTTTAATTGTCTAAAGCATTACGTATTTTCTTAGTAGTTCCAAAAGAAGTATCAACTGCCAATAAAGTTCGACCAACGTTAGAAGTTGCTGGATGTAAATTATTTTTGTATATATTTCAATATATAATTTCATTATTATTTTCCTTTGTTACTTACACGCATTATAGACATAAAGACTCTCATAAAAGACATCTTACTTAGATATAGGCCTATTTATATATTATGTCTAACATATGTAGGCCTATATATATATATTTTATAAATAATTGTTGAAAATAGATAAATAAATAATATAACAAAAATATAGGCCTAATATAAATTATTTACATTAAAAACGCACCGTAATTTATAGTAATCTTAATGACTATAATAGATATACAAATCAAATATTAACGAGTTAATAAAAAACAGTAACAAAAATAACATTAATGATACTAGATTCGTCACTTCTCCATAATGTATGCAATCTACGTTTTTTAGATTCAAAGATTGACGAAAAGAAAGAACAGAAAAAAACAGAAGTTCAACCGCCAAGTGGTACAGGTAGGCCTAATAATGCAAAATGACTTATTGGCATGTACACTTTTGCCTGTATTATTGTTATAATTTAGAAATACAGGTTGATTGAAAACGTTGATTGAAAACCTCCCACTTAAATGTTAAACCCCACCCCATACCCCTGTATAAGTCGCTGCATTGCATCCTATTAATTTATACTGTGACATACTTTCTTAACGAAGATTATTGACTTTGTTTATTCCATTTACGGTACATTAACAACATTCATTATTTCAATAGTATTGTTATATGGTGTGTACGAACATAACGTTCCTTTTATGACAAAGTTCTGTCTGTTTTATTGATATCTCGATATTCATATTTTTAGTTTTTTATTTCTCAAATTTTGAATCTTTTATTAAATAAATTCCAACTGAAATAATTTAAAGCATCAATTTTTCATTTTTAATTCCGAAAGAAGTATCAACGGCCAATAGAGTTCGAAAACGTTAGAAGTTGTTACATGTAAATAATCCTCATAAATGTTACACTTAATGGGATCATTCAACTGGTTTATTTTGAGTAAGAGTTTCCGTAGTATTATTTTCATTCGACTGGTACGTAAAATAGACTTCGCTGACAACGAAAATTAACGTAACCAGAATGCGTTAATTAGCGTTAAGTTATGCACGTGACCAAAAAAAGTATGGCCGATTGGTCAGTTTAGCAACATCATTTGCGTTAATATAATTTAGATTAAATTTTAGAAAATACAAATTACAATATTTACCCACATTGAAGTCAAAACATAATTGTAGGCTAACAGAATTCAAAAACTGGATGAAAACATTTTTTTTAGGAAAAACCCATACTGCCACAATCTGAAGCAGCTTTGATTACGCAGCGTGTATCGCGGTAACTATGCAGTCATTTTGTTTTGAGTATTTACCAGTTTTCTATTCGACTGGCTGGTCGTCTTCGTTAAGCAGGATTTACCACTGCGCAGGTGGGCGTGGTTTAACGAAGAACGACCAGTCGAATACGGTCAATATAAATCTTTCGGGAGTGTCAATCATACTTAACAACTGACCAATCAGAATGAGGCCTGAATACTATTCGCTTGTCCAACAAACAAACGTATCCACAACACGTTTGTTGCACCTTAGAAACAATATATCCAAGTGTCGGGGCTTAGCGATGGTTAATTTGTTTTCCTAAGTTACTTGCAAATTATTTACAATACAAGTATAGGGTACTGGTACCGGTACCAAATAAATAAACCCTTTAATTATTGCATGAATGATAATGAAAATGAAATAAATGAAATACAAAGAAACTTCGGTAAGTTAGTTGAATATAAACATTCAATTAAATCAAATAACCAATGAAAATATTTTCCATATTATAATGTCTAATAATTCTTTTTTTGTAATATGTAATTGTAAATTACATAGAACGATGTATGACAATCTTTTTTTCAGATTCAAAGAATGATGACAAAGAGAAAAATACAAAGGGTCATCCAACAAGTGATACAGGTATACGCCTAAAAATAACACCATTTCTTGGTATTACGTTTTCTGTATGAATTTACCAATAATTAATAGTATACATTAATAACCCACCCAAACCTGAAGTTCAAAATGTTCGCATACTGGTCTATTGTGTAGACCTACACCGATGACAATGAAGATTTCGTGTTTCTGTGTAGGTCATATACAAACATGCTGTCGGTTAGGCTCAATCCTTTTATACATGATAACGTGAATGGGCCCGAACAGGAAACATTGATGAAAATACAACGTTTATGTAATGAGTAGTTATCGACGATCTCTTAGAGCGGCAGGGTGCTGTGCAAAAAGTATGCCTAAACGGATTAATGGTGTACAATAACAAATGAACAATTTTTCGTTTAGGTCCAGAAGCTGTTATTATAGCCCTAGATGTTGACCAAATCGACGAAGCTAAACAAAGAGGTTTCTTGGCTAGTTGGAAAAAAAATAATGGCAATAATAGGTAAAAGAACATCAATTTTTATAAGTTTTGTTTGAGCCCTCGTTCGCTACCACTAGCAGGGGCGGATCCAGAAATGTCCAAAAGGGGGGACCGGAAGCGGGGGCCGAAAGTTGGGCCGATTGAGACAACACTGCCGTAGGGGGTCTGGGGCATGCCCCCGCGAAATTTTTGTGTTCTAGACGCCCGAACATAACATTTGAGGCATTCTGGGCTTGGTCTATTGTGTAGACCTACACCGATGACAATGAAGATTTCGTGTTTCTGTGTAGGTCATATACAAATATGCTGTCGGTTAGGCTCAATCCTTTTATACATGATAACGTGAATGGGCCCGAACAGGAAACTTTGATGAAAATACAACGTTTATGTAATGAGTAGTTATCGACGATCTCTTAGAGCGGCAGGGTGCTGTGCAAAAAGTATGCCTAAACGGATTAATGGTGTACAATAACAAATGAACAATTTTTCGTTTAGGTCCAGAAGCTGTTATTATAGCCCTAGATGTTGACCAAATCGACGAAGCTAAACAAAGAGGTTTCTTGGCTAGTTGGAAAAAAAATAATGGCAATAATAGGTAAAAGAACATCAATTTTTATAAGTTTTGTTTGAGCCCTCGTTCGCTACCACTAGCAGGGGCGGATCCAGAAATGTCCAAAAGGGGGGACCGGAAGCGGGGGCCGAAAGTTGGGCCGATTGAGACAACACTGCCGTAGGGGGTCTGGGGCATGCCCCCGCGAAATTTTTGTGTTCTAGACGCCCGAACATAACATTTGAGGCATTCTGGGCTATCACTTTTTCTCTCTTTTTTTCCTTTTTTCCCCTTTTTTTTACCTCCCAAAAGGGGGGGGGGGGCCGGGGCCGGGCCGGCCCCCCCCCATATCCGCCCCTGACTATTAACTAAATTATTACCAATAGGTTAAATACATAGACAAGGGTTATTTAAACCCCTTATCTTGAAATAACATGTTAAGCAGTATTTAATTATTGATAAATTTCTCCAGAAATCCAGACTGTGAAAAACATGTGACACGCCAAAATATGGCCCTGATGACATATATATTGACTATATAGGCACATCTATATGACTATATATGGGCATAAAACAATTTTTTTTTGTAAAAGAAAATTTGATAATCTGGACATAGCTTTTTGATATTCAGTGGCAGATAAAAATGTTTTGCCGGGGTGGCGCGAGAGGCAATCGAGGACTTCTGTTTCAAGAGGAAAGGTTTAGGTTGTTTACCTACTTTACCTAATATGGGGGTCCAGAGGGCTTCCACAGCCTCCACAGCCATATTAATATTAATGTTTTATCTAAATAATTTCGCACTTGGCTAGAGATTTTTTTTTTTGCTGCAGCGGGAGATGTGTATAAGAGACAGGGGGGGGGGGGGGGGGGGGGTAAGAGGATAATTCTCCTCTTCCACCACTAGACCCGCACTAATGTTAGTTTGTGATTGGCTTTCATTTAGTAGATACACATAGCAAATAATATGTCACCAACGATTATAATTCAAATGAATCCAACGAAAATCGAGTACTGTACATGTTTTACACATTAGGCCGGTCATTTTGAAAGTTGTGAAGTTTCTCAGAAAGTAAGCATTTCGAAAAATAATCAAATTAATTAATAGTCAAATTAATAGTCAATGTGTCAAATACTTATACACCTCAATTACATATACAAAATAAAAATAATTAATAATAATTACTAATCATTAATTATTAAAATTATTAATAATAATTAATAATCAATATGTATATAACGTCTAAAGTTAACAACCTCGAGGTACTTAACAAAAATAAAAACAAAATAAAATGAGCAGCTATGTAAGAGATGGTGACTCACCCACTAATGTCAAGAAACGTTGCTGTCTCATTGAGGCAATGTACAAGTATACCATGAAAATAACAAGCACACAAGAGAATGCTTTTTGAATATTGACATTAATTTTAATTTATTTTTCTTGATATTTTATAGCAATCATGGCTATTGCAATTGGAATCTTTATTGCCGTAGGTCTTAAAATTTTCTCTACGTCTCAGCCACTGCATCACCCAACGATCATTCCAGATGATTTACAAAATATATTAAATATTGTTGAAAATGAAATGCGATTGAATGGGACAACGATGGATTTAAGTCTGATTGATCTATCCAACGTCAAAGGATCCACATTAGCTGAATTGATAAACATGTTTCCAAAAGTTACGTTTTTCAATATGTACAGTTGTAAATTAACAGGTAAAATAATTAGTGATATGCTAAATGAAATTAATAAGCAAGGTATAATATTGAAAGAAAATTTGTTAGGTCTTTGGAGCAATAATCTTTCCGATATTGATGGCAAATCATTAACTAAGTTAATTAATGTACTTAAACAATTTAGTGACGATACATTTTTAAAATGGAGTGATTATAATCTAGCATTTGGTAACTTACAAGATCTTGTATATTCATCCGGTGATATAAAGTTTAAATGGAGTACTGTTGATTTAAGTGAGACTAACCTTGCCTCAATCAGTGGAACCACTCTAGCTAAACTGTTTCAATTATTTCCAAACTTACAATTTCTTAATTTGTATAGTTGTAATCTATCAGGTACTATTATTAGTGATATGTTAAATGAATGTAATAGGTTGGGTATAACACTGAAAGAAGATGTGCTCGGTCTTTGGAAAAATAACCTCTCCGTCATCGACGGTGAAACACTTTTTAATCTAATTAGTGTACTTAAAAGATTTGATAACGATACCGCTTTGAAATGGAGTGATTATGATCTATCAGTTGACAATCTAAAAGATCTCCTATACTCATCGACTGAAAATGCAAATTTCAAATGGAATAACGTAGATTTAAGCCTTGTTAATCTTGCCTCTATTAGTGGAATCACACTAGCTAAGATATTTCAACTATTTCCACACTTGGAATTTCTGAATATGCATAGTTGTAATCTATCAGGTATTATTATTAGTGATATGTTAAATGAATGTAATAAGTTGAGTATAACACTAAAAGAAGATGCGCTCGGTCTTTGGAGCAATAATCTTTCCGATATTGATGGCGAGTCACTTGCTGAATTACTTAATGTACTTAAACGATTTGATAAAGACACCGCTTTAAAATGGAGTGATTATAATTTATCGCTTGGTAACCTACAAGATCTTTTGAATTCATCTAGTAAAACTTACAAATTTAAATGGAAAAATTTTGATTTAAGTGAGATAAATCTTTTTTCAATCAGTGGAGCTACACTAGCTAAGATATTTCAACTATTTCCAAAATTGGAATTTCTTAACATGTATAACTGTAGACTATCAGGAACTGTCATTAGTGATATGATAAATGAATGTTATAAGTTGGATATAGTATTGAAACAAGATTTAATCGGTCTTTGGAGTAATAATCTTTCTGATATTAGTGGTGAATCATTAACTATGTTACTTAATGTACTCAAACGATTTGATAATGACACTGCTTTAAAATGGAGTGATTATAATCTAACAGTATCTAACCTACGGGATCTTTTGAATTCATCAGGTGAAAATGGTAGTAGATTTAACTGGAGAAGGATTGATTTAAGTAATATTAACCTGTCTTCTATTAATGGAACTACACTGGGTATTCTGTTTAAAATCTTTCCAGACATGTACTATCTTGACATGAGAAATTGCAATCTAACAGACATGATTATCGATGATATGCTGAAAGAATGTGACAGGCAGGGTATAGTACTAAAAGGAAAAACAATAAATATTATACACAATTGCTTGCCTAATCATTATCAGGAATCACTTGCTACTATTATAACCTAGGTTGAGAAGTTAAAAACAAAGACCCGAAATTCACAAAATTGATTGGACTGTTTTTAACATAAGACCTCATAATTTGAATAGCTTTGACACAGAACCAGCCACAGCATCACTTGCGCTGTTTGTTTTGGCAGTGTCAAGTAAGAGTTATCCAGTATCTATGTGCTCTCTGTTGACGATGGTCCTAAAATTAAGCCTAGGTAAGAAACCATGCCAAGCAATTGGTGATCAAGTGATCTCTTCAAACTCAACATTAAATATTAAATTTCCATGCTTAAATTAAAGATAGTCTGTACAGCGGCAAAAATGTAGAAAATCCAAAACAAAAATCAATTGCTTAATATTTGAAGAAATAAAAATAAAAATCTAGTCGTTAACTTACAAGCAAAAAAAAAAAAAAAAAAAAAAAAAAAAAAAAAAAAAAATTAATTTAATATATCGAATATTTGTCCCAAGACTCATTTTGTACGTATTAATTGTCAGGCACTATCTACGACAATCCCTAAACTGAAAACAGACAAACAAACAGACAAAACAAACACACAAACAAACCAGGGCGAAAACATAACTATCCATTTTTTACGTGTTTACAAGCATTTTACTATGATAATCTTAAGACATGATTACCAGTACAATTATAGGTCTATTATTACGTGATATGTCTATTCGTAATTTTTTTTTGCTAATTGTGGTTTTTAATTGAAAGTTAATAACTTAATTAAATATTCAAAAGTAAGAAATTAAAGTTAATTTTACTATTGTAGTTAGTTAAGTTTGTTAGTTATCTAATCTTGATCCAGTTAGTTTGAAAAAAAATTGAAAATGCATTTAACTTCTTAGTTTTGTTTTTAAATTTAATACATGCGATAAGTACATGTGCGATTCTTCTGCATCTTAAAACTAGAGTGAAAAACCTGTTCAGTAATAGACATGCGACATCAAACTTTGTGTTTGTTAAAGCTATTTTAAAGAAAATGTATTTGTTACCGTATACGCGAGTATAAGGCGACCCGTGTATAAGACGAGCCCCGAGTTTGAGGTTTTTCTAAGATTTAATACATAACTTTTGTAGCAAGTTAATGTAGGCAATTTAAAAACAAAATATAACAATTCAATTGTTAATAAGGTTTACTAGTAATAAAATGTATTTTGATAAATATATATATTTTTGAGTATACGGTACAAGCAGCGACATACTCTATGCTGCGGTGGTAAAATAGCCCATAAATAATGTTAAAATTCTTGAGTAAAATGCTATCCGAAATATCATGGAGTTGGTAATTGGACCTACGTTTTGACAGATGAACAATGGCTGATAGCACTTTGTCCGATAATGGACTATGTTTAGAGTAAGTTTGACCTAGTAGTTTATACATACACATGCTCCTGTCAGGAGGCTATTTTTGTATTTTTTGTCATGTAATTATTTTTCATAAATTATAACAACACTATGTGAACATGTATATATAAGCAAACTAGGGATTAATTAACTTGTAATTTTGTTTTGTATAAATTTCCAGATTTGAAATTTCCTCTTTTAATATTAGATGTTGATGGTTTACTTTGAGTATAGCCCTGAATTTTTTTTTTTAAATTAATAATGTTATCCTGTAATTATTCCTTGTTAACCAGATGCTTTTTGAAAAATTATGTTGAAATTGAGTGTTTTTTATATCAATCAATGAAATGGAATAAAATTATAAACTTTAACAGGTATTGCATTTGTAAGTGTTTCCAATATATTACACAAGACATTGTAAAAGCAGAGAAACCTCAACATTATAATATTACAAAATTTATTTCATATTTTACAAGTCTTTGAACAATGATCAGGAAAATCAGTGATTTTTTGCTTCCTTACTATCAGGTCCATTATCATACCCTATTTCTGTAGTTATTGGTTGTTCTGTGACACTTTCTTCACTTTCATCTCTCTTAATTTCATTTACTATAACTTCTGTTTCTTTTGCAACTTCCTCTTCCTCCTCCTCTTCTTGCAAAGGAGTAAGAGACGTAGTTACCACACTCTTTGGTATTTCTTGCCTTTCATCTGTGCTGTCAGTTTCTTGTTCAATATCCACAGGTTCTGGTGAAGGTGGTGGCGCTGCAGGTGCAAGTATCTCCTCTACCAATTTCTCTGGGGAATCCAAGTATGCATGTTCATCCACGGAAGGCCAAAGATCTGGTGTTGTCATTCCTGTTAGAGCAGGAGTCACAACTGGCACTGGAGATGCATTAATTTTCTCTGAAGGTTGTGCTGCTATGGTGTTGGATTCCTCCCATGGTGAAATATTCCATGACCGATTATTACTGATAAGAGGTACTGGAGACTGCTGTTGCTTATCTGAGTGATTTTTAACATTATCAATGATAGAAGGACTGATTGTTCTCTCCTGGATTGTCCCAAGAATTGGTTCTGGTGTCTGCTGATTTTCTGCATGGAATGGTGTGTTTACTGGGGTCTTGGGAAGAGATCCATGGGTATGATTTTCAAATTGGTTATTTGTAGAAGTCTTGGAGGTTACACTGCTAAAACTAGCTTCCTTATGAACGGGAGCTGGTGTACCTACAGGTGTCAATGGTGCATTTGCTGAAAGACTTGGTGATATAGCATGAATTGGCTGCAAAAAAAAAAAAAAAAAAAAGGTAAATAAACTAAATGAAACAGTTATTAAACACACTACAGTGGTACCAAGACTTTTTCACCAAACACAGCTTCAACAAAGGTGAACATTAATATTCATGAGTGAGAAGACACACTGAAATCAATCCACAGATGGTATCAACGTTACTGTAATGACCAAAACACTGACAGGCAACTTGAGGGGTGTAAATTATTTTCTACAAAACACACCAAATCGGCAAGGCTGGGTATAAGGGTTTGATAATTTTTGCCCGGAATGAGGGGTGTCCCAATGACAAGGATGGAGAATTACAGCTAATAATCTCCAAGGATGAGATTTTTTTAGTAGGAGTAGGTAATTTCCTTCAATTAAAAAAATTGAACTGTCTTATGGAAAATCTCCAGCCATGCAGGAAAATTCTTCACCCTAATAGGTATATGTGGAATATTACTGTGGCCAAAAAACCCAGGCCGGAAACATCCCCAACACCCCCTCAGCCCATATACCGTAGATTTACAATGCATTGAGGTTGCGTCTCATCACAGCTTATCACCAATGATAAGTGAGGGGTAACTCATGAAAATTAATAATATACATTAATTGAGGCTGTGTGAAAAAGTCTACCACCATCTACAGCTCCATACTCATTACACTGCCATCTATATTAAAAATCAACAAATTCTTCCTGTTCAATTATGATGATGTTAAATGATAATGGACATATTAATATTAATAAAAGTAATATTACATTGTACTACTATACACATAAGTTAATACTGATTATGAATGAGTAGCAGTTATCAGGTAGTTAAATGGTTGTAGCTTTACTGCACTGTTGTAAGATGAGCATGGAGCAATTAGTAATCAATCAACTTATTGCTTTAAATATGATTGATAGATTTAATCTGTCATGGAGGGTATATCTTTAACAGATAGAATAACAAAACACAATGTTGCCAACCACTGCAAGCAAGCAAAACATAGCACATTATTCAGATGAAAACATGATTACCAGCAATCACACACAACAAGCAAACATAAGTTACCTCATAAATATACCAATGTAATGAATCCAACTGCATGCAATGGGGAAAAAAACATGCATTCATATATTAACTATCTTAAATAGATTTCAAAAAGAATCAATTAAACTATTCAGATAATTTGATATTGTTGGTGCTAAATTGGTTATCTTCTTTATATACATAGAGCATACTATCCAGAGACAATGGAACTAGAGTGAGGCAGTTACAATGCATGGTGCATTTAGGTGGAAGTGGAGAAAATGAAATATATGAATGCAGAGGTTTGATAAGAGTCAACTAAAGTTGTAGTGGATGCAGAACATTGGATGCATGGTTTGGGGAGGAGGAATGCATGAAGATAGCGATGATAATTTAATTTAAATGTGTATGGTACAGTAATTAAAATTTAATAGGACAGTTATTGCATCTAGCAAATCTAATAATTTGAAACTTTCACAATAATTTACCACAGAAAATGTGTTAAAATATCATTACATATGAAAATAATGTACTATAAATTCCAAAAGAAATACAGTTTTACAAAATCAAGTTCTCATTGTTACATGCACTATTTCAAATTAAAGAGTTTAAATTTATGTCATTTTTGTTGGTTTTGCTCTACTGTAAACATGATTATGGGCAAATATGGGCAGGCAAGAATGAAATTGCATGCCATCCAAAATTGACATGAGGACCACTATTTTAGGGGTTTGGTAAGTTGAGTTGGATTTTGTGAGAATAAAAATAATATTTTTAGCCAGGGTATGCTCCAACAAATTTAATTCATGCAATGAAGAATAATCAAATTTATTTTCTTACATTTTCTTCAGCAGCAAGACTGGAATGTACTGACGATAGCTGGTGGGGAGACTTGGCTCTGCATGGGGGACAAGGGCTCCTCTGCATGGGTGTGACAGATGTTACTAGTGACATCCTATCTGGAGACATGACACTTGGAATTGTAACAAGCAATGTGGAGGCCTTTTCAGAATGTGTTGGGGTGACTGGTTTGAGAACCAGTTTCTTTTCTATACTTGGTATTGGTCCTGCAAATAAAAAATGTAAAAATTAAGACACATTACCAATGTAAGCTCTACTAATGGCATGACTACAGTGACAGGGTTGAAAGCCTAAAGTAATTTTACCATTTTCCTCTGTTACATCTTAAATACTAATCATGTCCTCCTAAATCGAATTGACCACAACTATAATGATTATAATGGTAATGATGTCACTGATAATGCTGATCTCATGGCTTACTATCATCAAGGATGTATCCTTGCCATTATGATACATATATCATTATCATATCATAATAATGCTGGTGTTAATGATGATATTAATTATGATTATTATGA